TAACAATGGCACTCTCATTCTCCTCTGAGGGTGTCTTTCTCTGCATCTTCTTGTTGTATTTGTGTTTGGGATCTCAAGCTCGTAGATCACCCGTTTCTTCTGTGGTTAGCGAAGAGCTTTTCAATTCCATTTTCCTTCACAAAGACAACGCTGCATGTCCTGCTAAAAACTTCTACACCTACGATTCCTTCATCATGGCATGCAGAAGATTCCCTCAATTTGGTGCTAGAGGTAGTTTAATCACACGCAAGCGTGAGGTTGCGGCGTTTCTTGCTCAAATTTCTCAAGAAACCACAGGTGGGTGGGCTACTGCACCCGATGGACCCTATGCTTGGGGACTGTGCTTCAAGGAAGAAGTTAGTCCTCAGAGTGACTATTGTGATTCCACCAACCAACAATGGCCTTGTTACCCAGGAAAAACTTACAAAGGAAGAGGTCCAATTCAACTTTCATGGTATGCATGCATTATACATACCATTTTGACTGCTTTTTTGCTTAATTTTCATGCATCCTCGTTGTAAAATGTTTTACCATGTCACCATGTTAGGTTGTTTTGTCTGCTAAACATTAAGAAGTTTATATCGACAAGAGATAATGTCAATTTAAAATATATAAATGGATGCATACCCTACCTTATAAATCGATTTTGTGGATTGAGTTGGGCTTAAAGTTCACTTCTTAACATGACATCAGAGTCAGGTTAAATTCTATCTTAACGATAATTGTTATTTGTTGGACATGTTATTCTACTTGTTATTTTTTTCGTTACCAGACCATCATCCATTAATATCTAGTCTAACGCTCGATATGTATATACCTTATTGTTAGAGGGCATGTAGGAAGTCTCATGTCGACTAGAAATAAGACCAATTTATAATGGGTGCAAGCCTCACCTTACAAGCTGGTTTTATAGGGTTGAGTTAGATTTAAAATCCAATTATTAATCTTAAATCTACCAATCTTGTTATGTATACAGCAGTTCATACTTTTGACTGTGCAATAATGTAAAATATCATTTTATAAGGAGCATGTTTTTTGTCAAGTTAAGCTTTTCTATTTTAGTTCCGATGATGTGTGTTTCTTCTGCATGATTCCCAACACTTTTTGATGTGTATGATGCAGGAATTACAACTATGGACCAGCAGGGGAGGCCTTGGGATTTGATGGATTGAGAAACCCTGATGTGGTGTCAAACAATTCATTGATTGCCTTTCAAACAGCTTTGTGGTTTTGGATGACAGAGCAAAAGCCAAAACCATCTTGCCACAATGTGATGATTGGAAAATATGTGGCCACAGAAGCTGACATAGCAGCTAATAGAACTGCAGGGTATGGTCTGGTGACTAACATAATCAATGGTGGACTTGAATGTGGAATTCCTGGTGATTCAAGGATGAATAATCGCATTGGATTCTTCAAAAGATATGCAGCATTGTTCAATGTAGATACAGGACCTAACTTGGATTGTGCATATCAGAAACCCTTTTAAACTCTTTCTTCATTTTTATTTTCTTTTATGTTCTTTTCTTTGCCAACCAAAGATTCACTCATAATCTACTTAATGCTCATGATATCATATACCCAGTGTTTTAGATTTCAATATTACGTTAGATGAACAATGAAATTAATAAAATTATTTGAAGATTTTTTTTATTTAGGTCAACAATCACACGTGATTTTTTTTTAAATTTAAATGTATTAAAACTAATTTTAAATATAAAGACAAACACATCTGTATATCACAAATTGACTGGTTTAAAAATATTTTAAAATTGTTTTTATATAACATATTTGATTCTTTAGATGTAAAATAACTTAGAACTTACGCATATTATTAAGAATATCGCAATTAAAAATTAAGAGAAATTGAGATGGTAAACTGTAATTATGAAGATGATGAACAAACTTCTTAAATTTTAAAGTATTCCTAAACAAAGTTCAGTAAAAGGAAATTGAATGATAAAACGTAGAACTTTGAAATAATACGATAAATCGTAATTAAAAAGTTTAACTTGATTATGTTTTATTGCGCCCTCTGTTTACAAAGTTTGATGTAAAGATGTATCTGTTTAATAATGATTAGTTAGAATTAAACACACCCAACTTATAAGTATGTGTTTGAAACCATGTCAACTTTCAATTATATATGTAAGTGTGAACTTTTAATTATATTCAGAGGTATATATATAGTCATTTTGTAAACAGCTGTTTTTTTCTTGTTCATGATGTTATGTCATTTGCACCTCTTATATACAGAATATTATGTACATTTTTTTAAAAAGGGTTAGAACATCCACAAGTGATCTACTATATTTATTTATTTATTCTTTGTTGATAAAAAGAATACTAATAGAAGAAGTTTAAATGCAATTATGAAAAAAAATTATAAGAAAAGATGAATTACTAATAATAAAAAATAGCTTTCCATAACATCATAGAGGTAGAGCATAGTTTTCGTTAATTACTAATAAAAATATATACTCATTTTTAAACTGTTTGTACACTTAGCTTTACTTCAACAATTCTACCTTCTCCTTTTCCTGCACAATATTACATTATTTAATATTGGAAAAATATATTTTAATTATATTTATACTATTTTTAATTTAAAATTGTAATATATATTATTATAGTATTAAAAGAGAGTCCTAAATGAATGTATTTTTTAAAGAGAGTGCCAAACTAATTTTTTTCCACATTTCCTCGTTGATTAATAATAAACAAACAATTTCTCCTTTAATGTATTCTAATACATAACTTCTGTATTCATTTATTCTATACATGTATTTCTTACGGTACATTTGTTTATAAATAATATAATTATTTTTCTACTGATTCTTATTTAATCAATAACTCTATTATCATATTAGTAATTTCTTTTTCTTTATCTCTCTCATGTCAACATATCTTTATTGTGATAAGAATTTCTTCTCAAAGTTAGGTTATTTATATTGTAAGAGTTATTTTATGAAATTTTAATTTAATGTTTGTAGATTTTGTTACGTAACACTATTTTTAAGACATTGTATGGGTCATAAACTTAATATATAGATGTTATAAAATATTATACTTAATATAAAATTTGAGATCTTGAATTTCAAATAAAACTGAGTTAAGAATAAAAAAATATCTTTTATCTTTAAAATGTATAGTTTTTTTCTAATAATTATATATATGATTTGGTTCCTCTCTTTTAAATAAAAGTTTATACTTAAAGCACTTGGTTGGTGGGTAGTAATTTATTTAAGAGTAATGATAACTAACATGTATTTACATTCAATTGTGACGTATTATAAAAGATAAATAATTATTAAAAAAATGAATAAAATATATATAAAAAATAGTATGAAATGAATATGAAAAATGTTATGCCTATAGTATAGCATTTCTACTTTTATGATCCGTCTAGATGCTATTGTCAAAAGAAACACATAAGAGGACAAGAAAAACAAATTATGAAAGTGAAACCACCACAAAATCCTGTCATTTCATAAAATCTTTGCACTTTATCCCATCTTCATTCTTTTTTCCTTTAAAAACCAAGCACAGAAAGCAAATTTTTCTGAAGACAAATTCTAATGGACTACATTAAAATACTCTAAATTATGTTTTTATCCTTCAAAACATTTTCAAATTTGTTTTATTTCTTACAAAAACTTTAAATATTTTTAGTTTTTATATTTAGCAAGTCGAGCAGTTTTAGTTTCATTTTATGAACTAAAACCATGCTTTAAAAGCATAGGAGCTTCTATAAAAGTTAAAATTAGATTTTGAGAAACTAAATATATAATCCAATAATAGCAAGCGCAGCATTCTCTCTGTTCTTTTTCAAAATTTGAAAAATGTCCAAGCTTTTCTTCAGCTTTCTTTTAAATTAATTTTTTTTTCTTCACTTAAACATTTATATTTTTACTATAAACAAATCTTATATGTCTGTTTTGTCGACGGTATTTTGTTAGTTATTTTTATCGTATCCAATAATTTTACATTATTTAAAAAATTAAAATTAAACGCAGTTTAAATATTTTTTTCTAATTTTTTTATTTTTAAAATAAAATTGTAACGAGATTTCAATTTTTAAAACGAAGCATATTTTGAATATGGTGACAGAGTCATTACTCAGCGAGCTTATGATATTTATTTTTTGGGAAATTTATTTTTTTCAATCATATATTTTGTATTGATAAGACTGGAATAATGTTTGAAAAATATGAAGCTTTTTATTTGAAATGTAAGAAAATGATTGGAGTAGTTTAGCAGTCTATTTCTTTTGTTCCATGTTGGGAATTTGCTGGGCCAACACACTTAAATGTGACGATAATTTGGGTCAAGCGAAGCCACATTGGGCAAAGGTTGGAAGCTGTCTGCTACCAATCTACATGGGTCTTTATCTCATTCTCATTCACAGAATTCTGCCTACAGATTCTGTAACTGTCTTTGTAGAATTTATTAAATGATTAGACAACTACCCAAATCAAATTCATTCCATTCCCCAATTAAACCCTAGTCTTGTCTTGATCATATTTCAATATGTTCCCAAATCAAATCGAACATTTGTGTGAATGAAATTCGAATCTAAACAGCGAATCTGTACATAGACTAATCAAAATATCAAAATCAAACAATTCAGATGAATCATACTATAACATTACTTTATTGTGCTCGACATTCTATTATGTCTGTCCCTTTATTGCTCCTTATTCCTCGCATGTTTCAACTTTGCTTTCTGTCTAAACCATATGCTTTTGTTCAATTTTCATTTGGTTTATTCATTTTCTGTGTGAGAGAACGCGGAGGAACTGGGTCTTAACAACCGGGGAAATTACGTCGGTAACGAGAAAAGCTAGGACCAAACTTTTAGAAACCAAAAATAAAGGCATTTTTGCTCTTTTTTCATTTAGAAATTTTATGGAAGGATGAAAATAAAAAAATGTAATTATATATAAACTCTCTTCTTTCATTTTCCTTTTCCTTTGAATTTTCCTTTCTCGTGATCTCAGCCCTTTTCAATATCCAAACATACTAAGAATATACACCACTTTGATAAGGATGACTACTGACATTGAGTCTCAGGACTAAATTTAAGTCACAAAAAGAACCAGTCTTTTGTCATATTGTAACATTTATCACCCAAATGTCTCAACCCTTGTGATCTTCAACCTTTTTACAGCCGAAAGGAACATCCTACATGACCAAAAAAGCAAGTACATCAGTGCTTAAAATGGAAGAAAATGTAAAAGCCCCATGTAGTAATAATGGGTAGAAATTTGATCTCAAATTGAACTAAAACAAGTTTTGTTTGAAAGCAAAGGTTTACTTTTGTTCTTTTTATTAAAAAAAAGGAAAGAAAACGAGCTTGTAAGAGAAAGTTATGGTTAACTTACTCCCATGGAACGTCCCCAACCATGATCAAATCTCCTTCTCCATCTTCATAAGTTAGAACATGGCATCTCTCTTGTTGAACTCCATCCATCTCAGTCCCCCCTGTGAAAAAAGACCACATTCCCTTGTTAGGAGACAAAGACGCTACATACACATAGTCAAAATAACTAACCATGAGAGAATAGTATTAGATTATACACAAAATGGTGGTGTCAAACATTTGTTCAAGGGTCTTCACTAACTCGTGATAGCCATCATGAGCTAACAAATTGAGTTTTCTACCAATTGGAATGCCTTCCATGTAAACCTTCACAAAGAAGCTCGTATGATCGCTGCAATCATTAACTTCAGTAGCTTGTGAATAACTGCTTAGATGTGGCTGCATCGGTTGCCAATGCCCCCTAACATATCAGAATGAGAAAAATACTTGAGAGGGTCAACAACAACAACTTCAGGCTAGCCACAACACATGATGTCATAAAAGAGAGTTGCTACATGGTACCCTTAGAAATCCAAGAGTTTTGATGAATGAGTTTGAACATAAGGAACAGAAAGAAAGAGTTTCTCAATATCAGTGGCAAAACCCTTGGATTTCTGAGGGTACCACATTTCATGAAGACAGACATGTTTTTCATATATATTGTACAAACCCTGAACTGGAAGAGGCAACATGTTGAGTGGCGGAAATGCTGAGTCCAAGCCTAAGATCTGTGCGAAGGTGTTGGCTGTGTTGGTGTGTGAGAGAGGATGCAGTTGAATTGGAAGGGTTGTTCCTGCAGCTGGTGATTGAAGAGGAGGAAGAACTAGAAGCTTTGCCCATTGTGGAAGGAACTGGTTCGGTAGATTACAGATGAAGCCGCCACATTAGAGGCCTTAAATAAAGAAAGCAAGAAAGAAAGAGAGAATAAGAGAAGAGGTTTGAAGAAGACTTTTTCAGCTGCTGCGCCACCCTCCATTGGCCACTCTCCTCTTTTTCTTCCTCCCATGCAATTGGTAGACCTAAAATGTTGTCATGGTAGCCGACAACAACACGTGTAAATAAGTAAAAATCAACATGGTATTTATACTATGTCAACATGTTTTTTGTTTAATAATTCAGCCTTCATAAGTATATTTGGACTAATGAGCTAGTCAGCTGATATCATGGTGCATACAGATTTGAGTTCATCAAGACTATTGTGATTAAACACTTCAATTAGTGGGCATTTGAAGACGATTTTTTTGGCAATTACTATAGAGACAATAGTTAGACAAAGCGTGTGGTCCGTAATGGACTGATTCTGTTCTGAGGAGAATGGAATGAACCTAAATATTAGACAATTGGTTGGATGAAAATTGGGGTGGACAAGAGAACATTAATGTTGATATCTGATACCTTGCAGAAACATGTAATATCCACGTAATCGATGTTCAATATATAATGATCGTGTTGCTCGTGGGGATCTTAGTTGTAGAGACCAAAATGTATTATTTTGTGCAAGTGAAGTGAGGCTAGAAATAGTGCTACGTACCAAGGAAAACATATCCATGTATGAATAGCAGAGAAAGACTTAAAGTATGAGATGAGAATTTCTACAAGTGTTGTCTCATTCCCTTTCAAGAATTAACTGCAGTAGACAAACTTCACCACCCTTTTCTTTCATTTGTGCAGACTTGTCGTGTGCATTTATTTCTTTCTGATGTGTTCATTTTGCATATTATTTTGCATGCCTGGTTTTCACTGTAATCAATATCAAAAGCAATTTAGGATGATACAATTAATAAAGAAAGAACAAAAGGTCATATGTAATCGCTTCGTGAACGTGAAGTACGTGACAAGTCTGAATATTTTATTGACTTTTTTATGCCAAAAAAACTCGAGATCTGGTCCTGGGAACTGGCAATCAACTCGATTTGATAGCATAGGAAAAGAAAAAGGGAAAAGAGAATAAGTTCTGTGCAATATCAAACACATGTTGGAATCGGAAACCCACTTTAAAAAAGTGTAATTTTATGTTTAATTTATTAGCCCTTCACGTTGAAATAATTATTCCTCACTTTTACTTTATTTTAAATCATTTGTCTCTTTTAGAAAAATATGGCAATTCTAGAACATTTAATGGTGATATCCTCTTTCATATCTTTTTTATTGAGTAAAATAATCATAACATATTTAACAGTGATAACTTCTTTCAATGTATATAAAAATGAATTTAATTGTAACACATTGATACTGCAATAATTATATTATTTTCTCAGGTAAATTGTCAAATAATTAAGAATTGTTAATTTTATAATGTTGCTTTAAAAGTTATATTGTGAAGAGTGTTTTTTTTTTATTAAAAAATGTACCTGCGCGTCAAAATTAAGTTAAAAAAAATGGAAGACCACCATTATACCATATCTGGTGGAGAGGCAAATGAACCAAAAAGAGAAAGGGAAGATAGAGATAGTGAAGGATGATGTGCATTTTGGAGTTGTAGCTGGGTCTCATGTTGAAGGTTAGAATGAACAATTTGAGGGGGAAGAAAAGCAGAATTACTTGGATCTAAAGATATGGGAAATGGTAGGTAAAAAGGGATGAATATATGAGAAAATGTTGAAAAGGGTGAAAAGGAAAAAAAGTAAAATGTTCCCCACCATCCCAACCACAAGGTTGCTTGGATTAGCCATGAATCTGTCATTTGGTCTCAAATACAGTGATTGTGTTGAATTAGAAAAGCAGGGTGTAACCCACATCCGCTTTTTCTTAAATACCTCTATTAGATGTGTCTTGCAATGTGAAGACCAAATCGCCCATTTTCCTTCTCCTTCCCGTTCTTCTATCATCTTGTTTTTCATTGCTTGCCTTCTCCGTCATCATTGTCCATGCCTTACAAATCATCACTTTCATTCATAGGTCAAACTTTATTTATAGTATAACTTTTACATCTCCCATGTAACCATGTCCCCACTCTCAATCTCTTTTACTTTCTATTTTTTCTATCCCTCTTTTTAACTAATTTTTTTTATTCAAACCCTTCACCCAGCTACACAATCATGTAACATGCAATTGTCACACTAACATCCATTACCTTCTCCGAATATAATTTTTTTCTTTTGAGGGCCTCGCTTCTATTGCTTGAATCAGAAAATCATTTTCTTGATCAGGTGGTGAACCCGAACTGTTGCTCAATATGGTTGGATAAATATATGAAGTTTTGATTATGCATGTTTACACAATTTTGTGAAAACCAAAAATTCTTTATGCTGAGCGTAGATGGGATCATACAATCAAGGGCCTGCGAAATCGCATCGCACTTGTTTATGATTGAACTTATGATTTTGACTGCGTTGATCCTCCTACATTAGAGGGAACGAATGGAGTGACAAAACAATAGCTATCAGTCCTCCTAAATACGTATTAATAGATAATGAACAAAATAAAGTGAATTTTACATAATCTGCAGTAGAAGCCACCAAAAACCTAACGAACGAATATGAGAAACTGTGATTATTACAATTTAATGGAACACGAGAGTTCCCACCAATTTCATGAAAACAAAATTTGCCACTATTTGTACACTCTATTTGTGAGATAATCGTTTACTTCAGCTGCTGCCTCGTAAGCTCCCTCAACGCATCGTCCCAAGGCAACACCAGACACATAGTTGCCCCCAAGGAACAGTCCTTCAAACCCAGTATTTCTAAGAGAACCTTTAGCAACGTCTAGAAGATCAAGATGGCCAATTAAGAACTGGGGAATAGCTTGAGGCCACAGTCTCACCCCCAATACAAATGGATCCTGAGCATTTGGGTTTATGAGCATTTTCCTCAAATCTCGATCAACTGCTTCAACAAGTTCACTGTCCGTCTGCCATAAAAAAATACAATTTAGGAGGAAATGAAAAAGGAAAAGAAACAAACCTGAATATACAGGTAAAGAAATGGCACTTGTTTCAAATGAGAAAATGTTAATGTAGATAATATGTAAAAAAAAACAAAAAAAGAAAAACTTATAACAGATCTGGAGCCAAGCATTTGAAGTCAAACAACAGATCCATGCCTAAAACCCTGAACCACCAATCATCAAGCAATAATGATTAGAGCAGGAGATCTAGGGCCCATTTAATTCCTGTTTTTAAATTATTTTTTGTTCATAAAAAGTGAACGAAAAATATTCGACAGACTAATTATTTAAAAAAAATTAAAAAATCTATCCGTTTTTAAAATTTAAAAACCTAGAACAACTAAGTTATTTTGTTTTCCTATTCAGTTTTTTCATAACTAGTACTCTCACATCTTCCCCCACCTTTTTTGAAAAAAAAACTTATATATTTTTTTTAAAGAAACTAAAAAACAAAACCACAATAAAACACGCCCCTCTACGGTGCTCTTGTAGGGGAAAACACCTCTGACCGGAACAATAAACTCACAATACTCCTGTAGAGTAAACTTACAATAACCAAAAATCTCACTTTATCGGATGAGTGTGTCTGATTTATTTTTAAATATAGCAAATTTATGCTTTCTTGTGTTTACATAATATGTTTATTTTAAAAATAAGCAGTTTCCTGATACTTTAAAGAAACAAATCCTATATACTTATTTAAAAAAAAAAAACTAACAGTTCTGTACACAACCGTCCTCGACGTTTCGCATAAAAGCTACTATTCACCCTATTGAATGCCATAACAGCTCAACCAATTCCATATATGTTAAAAGTTCATGTTTCATATTAATGTCACCTTTTGTAAAATTCCAGTATTGGTAGCCCCTCCAATGTAATTCAAGAGTAGAACCCTTCCAGGAGGTGCTCGGTTGGGGAAAAGTGATGAGCTGTATATAGTTCCTGTCAAGCCCACAAATATGCTCTTTTCATCAAACCGGTCAAAAACTAGAATTTACTCCACAGTGCACAGTTCTAACATGAATGATAATAATTAAAATGATGTGGAACTTATTGTGTTGAAAGACTTCACTTTTGCTTTATAAAATTAATACTCGCCTAATGTCTCCACTCCTTGGGTACGTGGATGCAATTGACCAAACCCCTTCAGTTCACCATCTATCAAGCATTCTGATCTAATAGCTTCTTTGGGATAAGATATGGAAACTGCAGCCACTGGAGGGTAATAAAACTTTGAAAGTGCATCTGCAGCAGCAGCCTGCAAGAGATATTAAAAGGTTGTCAGGAAATACAGTCCTCAATGTTTTTATTGGGAACTATCATGGCAAAAAATGGCCATTTATCAAACTGATTTGTTGAGATGCATTTTGTTATTTGACTTGAGTAAAAGCCCATCAAAGGAAACGCAGTTACTATAGACAATAACTTTAATTCTCATGGGAATAAGAGATATTAAAACATGAAAAACAAACGCCCCCAGAGGTTTTTAGAAATATGATAAGTCCTGTGCAACGAAAAACTGAGCCCTGGAAAAATGGAAATTGTACCTTCCTTTGCATTATGTTTGAGTGCGGCAGTGTTTGCACAGGAAATCAATTATGGCTCTGAAAGTTCAGAGGATAGTAAAAATAGAGACATATGCCACCGTAGGCACAAAAGCATATGCACATGCATGTGCCACTCACAACACACTCAAACAAAAGAGCCAAAGGCATGCAAACAAAGAAAACTAACGACCAGCAATTAGGCACCAAAAAATGCCTGCTATAACTCCCACACCACAACTCCAACAGGTCATATCACCCAATTTCAAGGATTCCACAAAAAAGAAGTCATTAATTAACACAAATAAATTATATAATCCCACTTTGAGGAAGAAACTTACTGACAGAGGACGCAGCAATGTACTAGCAACATGGGAAGGAATAGTAAGGACAACAGTTTTGCACTGCAAAGAAACCACACCTTCTGGTGTTTCATACATCAAACTGTACTCTCCGCTCTCCAATTTACTGATACTTATAAGCTTCCA